AGAGAGAGAGAGAGAGAGAGAGAGAGAGAGAGAGAGAGAGAGAGAGAGAGAGAGAGAGAGAGAGAACACCGGTATGTTCTATTCGAATAGAACACCGATGTGTTTGAATAGAACATACGTATGTACTATTCGAATAGAACATATGTGTGTACTATTTGAACGTGCGTTCTATTTGAATTTCGAGGGGTGACTTTGAGAAATCGACTTTTCCAGGGAAGTTGAATAATACATACGTGCGTTTTGTTCGGGGGAAGACTGTAGCAATATCTTAAATGTATCTAACCACATTTACATCCGTACAGTGCTAGTGTGAGTATGCCTTCACACTAGGCATTTTCACTTATTTGTGGACGTAATTGCGACCAGATCTATGCAGCTCCCGACCGTGCACCTGGATAGACCTTGTGTGAGTACGCCCTCAGATTGGACTGTCCTGTGTGCCTCTCTGTGCAAGCATACTGGTCGAGAGTCAGGGTTGTCAACGAATACTCACACTAAGGGTCTTGTTAGACACTCCTCCTAAAAACTTTAGGACTTGTCCTAAAAGATCTTTAGGCTTTGTGGTGCCTCTGTGACGCCGAAACCTCACGCCCAACGCAACTTCCTGTTTCGGAGTGTTAGGGGGTCCGGAAGTGCGAAGAGGGGTGTGCCAAGGATTTTAGGAAAGTGGGGGTGGAGTCCCAGGTCAGAACTGAGATCTCCGGTGGCAAGCTTAGGGGTAGTTGAGCAAGGTGGTGGTCCTGAGTTATATTGGACTTCGGGAGACCGGGCTACCTCCGGTATGAGTGTCGTCGTCGTGGTCGGTCCCGTCTCTGGTGGACCGGTGGGTCGCTATGGCTGTCGCGCTGTTCGAACAGTTGCCTGTGCCGCTCGACCTCGGCTCAGGTTCGTCAGATAAATCCCGAAGTCTGATACGCCTGGTGCTGCCGGCACTCTTCGCACAGTGTGAGGGGCTAATAGCGAGAGATGGAATTCCACGGTACCACTGTGAGCTGATGGTAGGGGAGGAGGAGATGGAAGGGAGGAAAACTGGTATTAATAACGACGAAGCCCTGAGATATGTAATATTGAGTGTTGCTAATATTCGGGTAGTCCGGGCCTCAGGGATCGTTGGTTATGGCTCAGTGAAAGTCCCTCGCGCACAGTCAGTCGTTCTCCGCCAGACAGGGGAATTCCGGGTTTCTCAAGTTTCCCTGCTGTCTGAGTTGTTCACCCTCCCAGTACTCGCGATACTCCGGGTCCCTCAGGCTCTTACGATTGGTGACCCAAGAGGGGGTTTTTATAACCATATCCGATTCGTGAACTCGGTCTCCCGCATCCTCATAATGAGTCAAGATCGAGGTCGACTCATGCAGACGCGCGAGTACGCTGCGACTCGGTTTCCTTGAGATCACGGTCGTACGCGAGCTCGCACATGAGCGGAAGCTGATCAGGCGCGGGTTCCCCGCGCTGGTGTATTGGTCGTGTCCTACCAGCATGCAACTATCCTATCCATACTATTTCATGTGGGATCCAATCATTGCGTTCACATCAATGCCATTCATGCGACGAAGAGAAAGGAGAAGGGCAATTGCCCTGGCATCAAGGGCCAACACCTCACGGAATTGACGATCAAAGCTAACGATTAAACCCAAACATCCATAGCGAGTGCTTCCAATCGGACCCGGGATTATTGCACGATGCAGATGGATACTAGAAAGTGACAAAATTTGAACTAAACAGGCATTGCAGAACAAGATTAAAAATCCGAAAAGATCACTCGAAGAGGGTTCGCATCCATTCCATGCATACACACGAGGCAAAACGACAAAGAAAACTCGAAACAATTTACAAGAAAAAACCCAAAAGTGCCGCAATAAGATCGATCAAAATAGAGATCAAAATTATACAGATGATTGGCATAAGAGACCTCATCCCACACATAGCTGCTTTTTTTTTTTCTCTCTCTCTCTCTCTCTCTCTCTCTCTCTCTCTCTCTCTCTCTCTCTCTCTCTCTCTCTCTCTCTCTCTCTCTACACTCCTCGATGCGGGCAGTCCGTCGTCGTGCATCAACACAGATTTGTCACCCCACTTGGTTGGAGCATGCAAGCCAGGTTCGCCCGTGAGCCACAGTCCGTCGCGGCCCGCACGTCAACCCCGCATACCCGGCACCAGCTTGTTGAATCGCCCAACTCTCTCATCGACTGGATTAAGCCCAAGTGGTCAGGAGGAGAAGAGAGGAAGTGCCTACGTCTGCATGGCTAGGCCGAGGCGTGGTGGACGTTGTCACTCTCCACGCATCGATCCGGTCGTACAGGCGTTCAGGCCAATTAGAACAGAGTATTAAGCATGCAAGACAAAGAAGAAGAAGGCGGGCAAATATGAGGAAATCAAGAAAGAAGAAAGATACAATTACAATCGTGCCCGCCAAAAGCGACAGTTACACAAGATTAAGGGTGCGATCTAGTCAGAGCCCAACTCCCAGCACAACAAAGTGTGCGCAAGTGAGAAGTGTGGCGCAACAAAATTTGGAGTGCCTAAATTCCTAGTCTAAGTCCTAATTGCAAAAGGAAATTATGAAAAGCCCACAAACAATTCCTCAATCCCTTAGGATCTCGACATCAAATGAAAATTAAAAAATGATATTCCCGTGCGATGATTGCGCCAAAAATTCCTAGTGCTCACAGCAGAACAAGAAAGAAGTCGTGGCAACCGTTGTCCATCGCGCTCGCTGAAGCGCGATTACTCAATCGTCGGCGCGGGACTTTCCCGATACCGACCCGATCGACTCCCACATAAACAAAAGAAACGAGGGTATCCATGCAACTTGCCCGACCGACCCGTCTTTCCACTGCTCCCCCTCCGACCCGTCCCATTTCCCCAAAGCAATGTCGCGCAGAAAGTAGCGCGGTTAGGGAAGACAGCTCGTCACACCTCCGTTAGAAGAATCCTAAAAGCACAGCTTTTAGGACGCGTCCTGAAGGGTCTCCCACGGGCAGTTGCATATGTATATACAGAGCCGCGCCGCCAATGTCCGGCCATCGTCATCTCTTGTCCGTGGTTCACAGGGGTGCGGACCCCAGCCGGCCGAAGGGTGCAAAAAGAAAAAACAGCACGCGGAAAAGTTTTTGAAAACTCGAATTTGAATTTCCGCACGGGTGGGGAAGGGCGATGAGAGGGGGCTGGGATGCCATCCATAACGTACAAAGATGCCCCGCATGGAGCGTGCAAGGAGCCGTGGTTGTATTTCGCCTGCCGAATCCCAATTGTGCGACTGGCATGTGACGCATTCCTAGGCGGCGAAGACAGGCGGGCAATGGCGAAGTTGAGCACCGCCCCTTGTCCCCCCTGAAGGCTTCCGCACCCAACTGTCGACTACATGGGGGGCAGGGCACTGCATGACGTCCCCTACAAGATTCGCCCCGCCCCCCCCGGCCTCCATGGCTACCAGTTCTGGCCGTTGCTGTCATTCCGCCGCCAAAGGTTTGCAATGTCTGTGCAGCGGCCCCACAGACAACTTCTGTAGCACCGAGTTATGGACATTGGTGCTCTGCATGCGTCGGCGAAGCTCGGCGAAACATGGACTCCCAAATTTTAAAGCTCCTCGCCAGGAGCTTTATTTCTGGCTTCCTAATTTTTTAAGGAACGGTCCTTAATCTGTTTTCACTTTTTCTTTCCCACGAATTCAATTTTTTTAATTTTTTTTTAGGCTAACGAATTCAATTACCCGTCAAATCTGAACGGGACGGCCTTTCAGGCCATTCAATTACTCGTCGAATCTGAACAGGACTGCCTTTCAGGCCATTTTTATTGTCATTATAGTATTACGGGGAACCCCGTAGCAGCCACATCCGTGCTCAAGCCTCCAAAGAGGGAACATGCGGGAGCTGCACCCACCAGCAGGTGGGCGACACCGGCCAGGGTTCGGCGGTAGCATCAGGACAGAGCTTCTTCTGTCCTGAAAGCCCGTAGCATCAGGACAGAGCTTCTTCTGTGGGCCAGTCACTGTGCCTCCCCTCCGGTCCCCTCCCCCTATGAGCATCAGCAGTCTCTCTGCTCAATGCCACTCGGGGGGACCAACGGCATATCTCTAGGTGGCCGGCGCCAAGCTTGCCCAGGAAGGTACATGAGGCCAGAGGGAATTGAACCCAAGGCCTCCTGAATGCCACTTGCGTGCCTTTCCAACTGAGCTAGGCCGCTGAATCCATTGGCCTCATGTATCCCGAATTCTCTTTTACGATTCTTCAACCACAATGCATTCCTAAACACTGGCAATTTTAAGGAGTCTCTCACGAGACCCTGAGACTTTTCCTGGATGGATCTGATCGTAATCCCGGACGTACTGGATGCATCTGACCCCGAGTACTTCTACAGAGGAGTCGAATAAGTCCAATTGTGGTATTCCTTTTTTCTTTTCTTTTTCAATTGTGATATTCCAGCCCAACGCCGCTTGGCTTCCGAGTTCGGATGGGATCCGGCCACTATCGCCTTCCCCCGAACACAACGCACCCTCATTTTGCCTGAACCTGACCGGAGATATCGGTTGTGTACGGTCATTATCAGGGTGCATTACGTTCGGGGGAACACGGTAGCCGTGGTATGACCGTACCATGCTCGAGACTTGAGGACAATGCAGCCATCGTGGCAGAAGGATGACGCCCCAAAAAAATATCACTCGGAGCGGCTTAGGTATGGCGCGTAGGGGGTGGAGGCATATCTACAAGCTCGAATCCGAAACTGGTCTTGTACTGGCTTGGCGCGCAGTGGTGCTCCACCCTCGTGCAAACTAGAGGGTCGCGGGAGGAAGGGCCTCGCTCGGCTACCAGTCTCGACATGCACAAGACAAAAAGTCATGGCGGTGTATCTTTCCATGTTCTAGCCAAAGATTCACTCTCGGTTTGGACATTTCGAGAGTGACGAAGGCGGTTGCTCTACCGATTCTGCTTTCTCCTGCAAATTTTCAGTTTTCAGAGAGGAAAAAAGAACCCCCGCTCTTTTGTATTGGTGCTCCACCCTTGTGTGAATGCGAAGAATGAAGAAGGCCGTGTTGTGCCACTGCCACTTTCGCTTTTGTCGTCGACTTTTCACATTTATTATTATTATTTTTTTTTTTTAAAAGGACCTCATTTTGTTTGGCCCGTGACGTCGAGCATAGCTCCTCTGCGATCTGAAAATCTGGACTGGATCACCAAACCGCTGTCCTGTCCACCGTGGCGCGCGCTATTGGGCGCCCAACCCGACGTAGGAACGCGCGCAAATACATAAAGGCAAGGAAGAAGCGGCAGCGCGCGCGCGCTTGGCCATAGTGACACGTGGAGTGGAGTGGATTGTGCCACGTGGAGGGAAGAAGAAAAGGACAAGAGAGTGTGTGTGCAAGTAGTAGTTGGCCAGTGGGTATCCCAAGGGGGGCGTGCTTCTTGGCGCAAAAGCCCCAGCGATGGCGGCCGTGGTGTCAGCGAAAACGGCACATGCAGTGCTGGCAGGGCCGACGGCGTCGTCGACAGGCGTGCAAACAGGTCAGGGGGCAGCACGTGGCGGCAAAAGCGGCTCGGTGCAGGTTCGGTTCAGGTTCGGCGCAGCGGTGCGGAGGTCGTTGTGGCTTGGGCGCCGCGGCGGAGATGTGGGATCCGCCGCGAGTTCGAGTCTCGCTGGCCAGAGGTGCGCTGGGTGCTCCCACCTGCTCAGTGCGCCACGTGGTGGCAAATGCCGCGCTAGCGCAGTTGGCGCGACGATGACCTGGACCGGCGCGCTGGCCTCCGTGCGCTTAGTGATTCAGGGGAAGCATCTCGAGGTGAGCTTCTCTGACTGGGTCTTGCTCCACTACTCTCGAAATGTGCAAAAACGATAGTGAATCTTCGGGTAGAATATGGAAAGATACACGGCCATGATGTTTTGTCTTTTGTGCATGTCGAGAGTAGTGGAGCGAGGCCCATTATATGCTCACACCTACTGTACCCTTCCTCCTCCCCCTCCTCCTTGTTCTCCTCCTCCTCCTGTTGCCTACGATCTCGGCCATCTCTCTCCTCGTAAGGGCGCCTCAGGCATTCTCATACCAGGATTTCTGGGCAGAATATGGCCTTTGCTTTGCGGTCAGATTCATGCTCCAAATTCCTAACGTGAGTAAATGTGCCCTTGTTCATCGCTGTCCCCGCCGCCGTCCTCCCCTTCTTACTTCCCTCACTTGCTTCTTCCTCTCCTTCTCCATCTTCCACCGTCGCTTCCTCTCTCTCCGGCATCGCTGCCTCTTCCACTTCGTTGTCGTCTTCCTCTCTCCTCCTCCTCCTCCTCCTCCTCCTCCTAGTCGTAGTTCCCATCCGTCCGTTCTTGCTCTTAGCATCATTGTGATCTTCTCCGCTTTTGCTATTCTAAAAAAACACCTTCGGGGGGTGCCATCGAGGGTGATATTGTCAGCGGCTTCTCCTCTCAAGATTTCTATGAACATCACCATCGCCGGCTTTGCGATGCTTATGGTGAATGCGACCATGAGTATTTCTTTCTTCTAAAAATTTAAGATATTCGGGGAAAAAAAAAGGAAAATGAAAATGAAAATGAAAAGCGAGAATTTTGCTCAGAACCAGCGTCAGAATCCATCCTTAAAATATCCACACCTCATTCCACCTTTCCCCTCCGTCCTTCTTCCCCTTTCCCCTTTCCCCCTTCCCCCCCTCCTCCACGTCTTCCTGTTG